TGATTAGCTAAATAAGGGCTTTTCACTCAACCAAGAGATCTTCATTGGCTGGCTAGAAAAGGCACATGTGAAACGAGGAGGGTAACTAATTTCTCATACATTTCAGTAATAATATTACAGTTCCCCCCACAAAAATAATTAGTTAAAACTTTACTTTTGTTAGCAACCTTACTTTTGTTGAAATCCAACAATCCAATCACATCCTTGGATTCACTTTTGTAATTGTGGAGGAAACTAGTTTGGAAGATGAAAACCGCACATTCACCAGCTAGAAATATTACTTTTAATTTTAATAAACAAAACTGGACTTTAATCATCATAAGTCTGAATTTTGGGAAGAAGGAACACAATTATCAATTTTGTGGGGAGTAGCAGAAAAGTAATATAACTAGTAGTGTAACTAATTACGGTTAGCAGGGAGTAATGAGTAAAGTAATACAATTATTTTTTGAAAAAGTAATGAGTTATGAATTATAAATAAAAGACATTGTGTAACTAGCCCAACATTTAGTTAATGATTACTTAATCAAAACAAGTGAGGGACAAGTGAGGGACAACTTGATAATTATAGTATTAATAAGTACTTATTACTCATAATGATGAGTTACTAGAGAACAAACTAGGAGAGCCTATATTAATGAGTCATTAGGTAATGATTAGTCAATGAATGTCTGTGAAACTATCATACTGACCACTTTCTTCATAAGTCGTTCCTTTTTAACTCTGAACCAGCTGCTGAGCTGCACATAAATGGATACACAATACTGAGTAATTAGGCTACATGTTTCATCATTTTTCTTACGATAACTTACTCTTTTTGTGGCCTCTAAAGTAATTTACTCCAGAATCTATGAATATGCAAATTATGTATTTCTAAGGTTTTCCTGTCTCCTACCTCACTGTGAAGTCCATTCTTAGTGGATGTGTACTGGTGTTCTTCTGGTTTCTACATCACACTGTCGAAGTTGCATACTTCAACAGTACATAAAACAATGTGGGCTTCAAAACTGGCAGCCTTTTTGGGGAA